TATATATATATATATATATATATATATATATATACATGTAAGCATATTCCTGCTTTAAAACAGTATGTTAATGTTAATCGAAGCTTATGCAAATCCAACAGTTCAAATAACTGTCTATTATTAAGTATATATAGAATAATACTATTATTAAAACAAAATTAAAAGATTTGTAATATAAGCGAATTGCATACAGCCTAATTCTCAGTAAAGTGATGGCATGTTAGTAATACAAAAGAGGCAAATTATGTGACAAGAATATGACGTCACTTTACTAAAAATCAACCTATGGAATGTGCTCGATGTATGTATATATATCATTACTGTTTGTTTACATCTAAGAACTTTCAACAATTGACTACTTTTTAGTGCAGACAGCGCTAGCTCTGCATTGGCTCGGATCGAATAGCTTACCACCATCTAGTGTGGTGTCAGTCAATATTCTTTGTAAAGCAGCTTCACAGCTAAGTCTCAAATAAAGGTGGAGAGATATGACTCAAATTGAGGTCTACTCTTAAAAATTTGTGATAAAACAGTCCATTGTGAGACCATTCAGCATCAACTATCTAATTTGATCTTTTATCCGTTTATAACTAATCCACTAGCTGACAGAGATTTTTGTAGTTAGTTAACTTTTCCAAGAATGAGTATACATTTCTTATTTATTTATTGTAAAAAGTCAACGGCGAATAACTTTTTTTAGAAAAAATAGTTAGAAAGTTAACTCAGTTTTTAAACTACAGACAGCACTAATACCAAGCACCTACCACTACTTCAGAAATGTTAGTCAAAGCACCTTGAATATTCGTATGGTTTGCATATTTTTAGTCTCACTGACAACAATTACATCTAATGTGGGGAATAGTAGCTTAACATTATTTCTAAAAATGGATAATTTAGTGCGCAATCTGTTTATACTTTAGAAGTTGATTATAAAATGACGAGTTAATTTTTAGAACAGTTAGGAACTTTAGAAGTCTTAGATTTATTATTTTTTGTATCTAAATTAATAAGTGTTACCTTAAGCTAATCGTTTTCTTTTCTTCTTGTCTGCAAATGACCGATTAAACATTAAGCTTTAATTATTTTTTTTAATTCCCTCTGAGTACACATCAAATCTATGGTTGCAGATATAACAATTATGTGATCTTTTTAGCCACCGAGTACAGAGTTTACATCATGTTATTAATTTAAAGAGCAGTCAAACTTAGCTCCCCATCTACCTCCTTACTTTTGTTTTTAACCAATTCCTTAAACACTCCAAACAATAAAACTTTTAGTGGACCCTAACGAACTCTTTACGAGTAACGATTTTTATCTGGTCAAGAAAAATAATTATGGGATACCTGTACTACTTATGCAGAATCATGTTTGCTAAAAAATAATTTGTTCTCCAGTCTTCTGAGTCAATATTTTTTTATTTATAAGCCTCGTGGTATCTTTTCAGATTGCAGCGTTTAGAGATATTAGAAGTATAGAAGGCCAAAAATTGACGCATAATTTCCGCCCAGTTCAGCCATTGTCCGACAGATTAGTCATGCATAATTCACCTCGAAAAGAAGTAAGCGAACAGATTAAAAGAATTCAAGATGACGATCAAAGTTCAGCTGATCATATGAGTGGCAGTCTTACAATCAAGTTATGTCTTCTTACTTTACTTGGCATAAATTTTATCCCCTATAATCAGCGATGATTAATTTTTAATTAAGTTCGAATAATATCATGGAATCAATGGGAAAGTATGAGGACCCGATCATTACGTTTAACTAAATTTAAGAGGTGGTGATAACTCATATGCAGCGATGTAATCCTAATCAACTGAATGAATTGAAGCATAGGTCTTAGTAATTCACATACAGTGCTAAGTTAATTTTAGCAATGTGCATACACTATTTCATATTTATTGGTAAACCTGTATGACTTCTTATTCATTCGGCTTGATAGATGTATAATTTTATATAATTTAAGAGACAATGTAATTTTGTTTTTACTTGTAAATATGTATACAATATGAGCAGAAAAATATGAATATGCATACGACAGCACAATACCGTTAACTTAATATAAACACACTACGCCATAGTCAGGATACCGGACAATTTTAATAAAATGTAAAATAAAAATTTTTTTGAAGTTTTTAATAACTTTTTATAACAGTCANAATTATTAAAACCAACTGTCTGTGCTTATTGTGCATACATCTTCTAAAAAGATTAAATTTTTTCTGATCTGAGGTACTAAGGCGACTAAAAAAATGATGGAGTTTTTTTATTTACTTTAATAAAATTATGGCAAAATAACATTTTAATAAATTTTTAGTGTAGTTATCACTATGATTCAATTACTGTGGTTGTAAGATACAAAGTAACCTAAACCTTAACATATTGTTTACATTGGTATACGGTTCGCTCTTTGTGTATACGTACAGCGTTTAACTTTAAATTTATTTTCGAAAGTTACTTACAAAATCAGGTGCTAATAAAACGAGATTGAGAAATACGATACATCAGACTGTAGTAAACATGTCTTTAGCATTTATCACAGTATGAACTTTGAATTAAGAAAGCAACGAAGCAATAAATCTAGCTACCAGTTTTTTTGAGTAGCTGTAATTTTTTGCATTATATTTTATGAAAAAATGTACCTCTAAAAATTCCACATAAATAAAGAACTTACATGAGATGACTCATGCTATTTTTAGCATAAAACCAAGATTTACGAAAAATTTCAACTGAGTTTCTAGCTCTAAATTTCAGCGCTTGAGTGAAATTTGATCTGAGTAACACTCAAACCATTTGGCTTTTAAAGAAAATTACGATTAACGAAAAATTTTCGAAAATATCTTAAGAAATATTTACAAATGTTTAATAGGTTACTTTAAACAAAATTGGTAGTTTTCCTACGAGTTTGAAAAGTCTTTGTTTGCGAACTGAGAGAAAAAATTTTTTTCCGCCCTAGGGTGGTTTTGGGAGGCTGGTACTTCCTCGGACGAAAAAGCAGTTTTCCGGAACTCGTTCGAAAAGTCTCCTTTACGAACCTCGCTACGGACCTCGCCTTCGGCTCGGGCCGCAAACCTCTCAGTTCGCAAACAAAGACTTTTCAAACTCGTAGGAAAACTACCATTCTTACCATGGGCACAAAGTGCAACTGCCGCTTTGCGCCCTCGAGTCACACTTTGCGCCCTTGTAATCACTTTTGGCTCACGGGTAAAAGTTTTTGCGCCCTCCGGGCCCAAAGTACATTTCTGCCCTAGGGCTCAAAGTGATTTACCGGGAGCAAAGTGTGCCCACACGCACAAAATTGCACTTTGCGCCCTCGATAAAAAAAACATTATACGCGACTTGGGCACCAACATACAACAATCACGCCCTTCGGGCGCTTATGTTTGTACTTAGTGCCCTAGTGACGTAATGTAACATAATAGTAGTTTTCGTCGGATAAGTGCTGTCGTCTCTGGGACTTTTTTGCGGCCCGAGGGACGTAAGGTAGCCACGGAGCGATGGCACTTATGTGGCGAATCCTATTTTTCCTACCGAGGGCACACTCGACCCTTAAAAACGCCCAAGGTCGGAAAAATATATCATAGTCGGGAATATATTCATAAGCTACGTGCTCAGTTGACTAGAAAAAAATGTAAGCATCGTTACGAAAGTATTTAGTTTACTTGGAAATAGAAAAACTAACTATATACCATTACCAAATGAATATTAATGAAACTCAGTAAACAGCATATGGTGCAACTGGAAACGGTTTAATATTTACAAGTTTAGACTTAGTCTAAGCTTACTTCTTGTAACCTTATATTTTTATATTAAATATTCAAATAATAAAGGTACAGACAACAGATTAATTTTTTATATTTTGTAATTCTTAACTACTGTATTTAGCTGTTGGTACTTAATCCACTGTAACAAATTATTAAAACCAACTGTCTGTGCTTATTGTGCTGAGCAGATCCAAACGTTCTAATTTATAACAACTGTTATATCCTCAAGAACAGAGCTAGAATTAAGCTATTTTATTACTTGATGTAAGATAGATAATAAAAAAATTGTACTACCATGTAACTTATGTTTTTGACGCCATTGAAATTTTTAATATAATAAAAAAGTAAAAGTTTTGATAGTTCAAGATGAATTTTTTCCTATTGAATCTTGCTATGTATAGCTATGAAACATGTACAAATAAAGTATTTTACCACAAAAAGTTTCAATTTTTTAGAAATAGAAAGCAGTTTATTAATAATAACATTTTTTATAATACTTCATATTTTACTCACTTCTTACCTAGATGATTTTAAAAAAATACTTCTTAAACTAACGCCACTTTATCCTTGTTGTGATAAGTTAGAACTTATTTAAATCATACAAATATTTACCTCTTTATATTTCGTAAAGTGCTTTGGGTAGAATTTCAAAAACGAGTTTCCTATATTTCTTTTAAATCCCGCAGTATTCCACGCTTCTCCTTAAATCATATTCAAAGTAGGATTATTTCTCGAATCTATAATTTTTCCAACCCTTTCCAATAGCTCTCACAAACATTTCACAACTTCCTGCCACCTACTCTAAAATAATAAGGAAATGTTTTATTGTTTATTTTTCTTAATAATCTTATTCACTGCATGCCGTCAGAGCCCCCTTTCCAACCTCTATTTTCTTGAACCGTATGTTATTTTTTTGAAAACGAATAAATGCCAAATCAATCGCAAATGTTGTACATCCATACAAAGTATGAAGTATTGTTATGACTACCAGTACAAAGGAAGTGACGGACAAAATTCACCCCAATTAAGAAGGTAAATTACTTTAACTTAGACGAATTCAAAAGTTACGTCAAAAATAGATACTTAAGAGTTACTTTGAGATTATAAGAGTTTGCAGTTTTTGATATAAGTCATAATGTAAGTACTCTTGACAACATACCAAAATTTATTTTTTGAAATAATAAGATTAAGAGTACAATAAACAAAATTTAAAAAACTATCTAGAGCTTGACATAAACTGAATGGAACTAATTATTTTGCAAAATCAATGAAATGTGTAATCATTTCGAATATTTTACAGTTGACTAATAATTAAAAGCTTTAGAAAAACAGAAAAATTAAAAAAAGCTTGTCAAACAGTTTAACTCGAATTTTTTTAAATACTATAATAGTTTATGCCGCAATAAATATTGAGCTGCACGAGTCGTTCAATAACTGGAAAACCTATAACGAAATAAAATACATTTTTTGATACATGCAGAAATTTTTATTAGTTTAATTTTAATGACGATGATTCTCAAATCGATACTTGATCTGAACTCGCAATTACGAAGTTTATTTTGCATAATTTATGATTTTACAAAATATTTTAGTAGAGAAAATTTAGAAACTTTAGAATTATAGTTCATGGAATAGGTTATTGATCATAATGAAAATAGCGCTCTCTTATACATTAATCAATTTTTTGGATTTAAAAACAAATCATGCAAAATATTCAAGTAACCTACATCAAAAGTAATAGATGTATAATAAAAATCAGTAACTTTGTAAAAATTGCTTTTTGTGAGAAAACATTTAGCTCAACACATGTGGTCCCCTACAATACAAGGAAAAATTCTTTTAATTTCTCTGTGAATTTAAACCAACAAAATTTTTGGAACCCCCTACCCCATCCACTACGTCCCACGTGAATTTAACGCCCTCACAACCTTTCGCTACCCCCCTACAGAAACTTAAAATGTTTTGAGAAAATGTTATAATAATTCTGTTTTAACGAAAATATGATAAAGAAGGGTACATATGGGGTAATTTTCCCAACCCACACCCCTCCCCCACATCTTCCTACAAAAACTTAGAATGTGAAGATGCTTTATCATACGGTCATTATGGAATACTTACCCCCACAGCCCAGCACACCATCTAAATTAACTTTATGATAGGGACAAGAGGGGATAATCCGTACCCTCTTTTGTGAAAAAATTAGAATTTTTCATAGATATGTTAAGTATTTTTGTATTTGTGGATACCTCACCTCCACTGTAAAATAATTTCAATTCATGTTACTTCCATTTCATCAGTTTCTGTCTAAATAACAATAGATTTTATTATGAATAAAACTTTCCAAACATAAGAAGTTGACTAGGTAAGTAGTTCCAATGGTATATCGAAGTACATTACGAGTAAGTCTTTTTATATAGTACATATAGAAGAGAGCTTTGATGGCTTAGTGGTTAGCATGCCAGCCTCCTAGCCGGAGATACTGGAGGAGTTATGGATTCGAATCCCATCGAAAATTATCGAGATTTTTTTCTCGGGCTTTTCAATGAGATAAGTACTAGGATGCCGAAACATCACTTATCCGGTTTTTAAAAACAAATAGTCGATTTTATGGTGATGCCTGGAATTCCTCTTCAAAGAAAGCCAACACCTTCCCAGTTCATCGGCTAAAGTCACTATTGGTTATAAAACGGTCGGTAGAGCGAGTTTAGATGGTTTATTGGACAATATCTGTCCATTAAACTTGATATTAGCTGAGGTGTGCTTGAGACAATCTCTGTGCCCTGTAAATAGTACCCAGTAGGATGAATGACCGAATCGTCTGAGGGAGACTTTGCAAGGGGCCACATGAAAGACTCGCATACTTGGAGAAATAGCTGATGGTGATTACGGAAAAAAGAACAAAAAAGGTAAAGATTACGGACATAGGATACGTAAAAACCTAAGGGGTAAACGTTAGAATCTTAATACAATACCATTTAGTGCATATAGTATTTTTAATTTACTTCACACAACCCAGAATTTTTTTTTTATTAAGTTAAATAATCATTCTTTATTCACTTCCATTGTAACTGGAATTATTAACTATTTACCACAGACAAATTGAAGCTGATTTAAAAAAAAAATTTTTTTATTTGAAATCTTTTTCCTCCTACCTCAAAGCCTAACTGAAGGATAATATTTTATTAAGAGGGGGTTAACGCGCGAAGTGCACTTTCCAGTTATATATGTACACATATAACCTATACTTTTTATCTTGTATCTTATGTAATTTAAACAGTTGTGGGTATATTTTATAAAATAGGTAAAGTATTTTATGTAATGAAGTGAATTTATTAACTACTGTTAGTACGTATGTAATGAAATTTTTGAAGCCCTTGTGA